TATCCTCAGAGTAGCTAACCAGAGCACGCAGTCTCATTAGTTTTCAGTCAGTCTTTTTCTCGTTTTATATATCTTTTTAGTGAAAGCTGAATTTTAACCTTGATATTTCAGCCTGTAACCAAAAACTGTACAAACTTTGATCTGTTGCTTCCTATATATACACATGTATAGAAATAGACAGATAAATACACAATTTTTATATTTGCAAGATGATTTAACTTTGATGTATCTGTGGAAAAGCAGCAGATTCAAGTAGTATGAATATTGTAAAGAATATCTGAATAAACCACCCAAAACCCCAACAACAACTCTTACTCAGGCTCTTGCCTGCTTTTTCTGTCAGGCTTTAATTAATAAATTATTAATCATGTTTGAAATACATTTCAGATTGTGGTTTTGAGTCAGGTGTTGGTGGTGCAAATGCACTTCCTAAGGCATCTAGAACTCAAATTCAGATTAATTTAGGTTGTAATTTCTAGTGAGATCTATGACTCCTTGAAGACTTAAGGAGCGTGATACCCAGTGACAGTGTTACACAGAAGCTTTAGAGTCTTTAGGGATAAACCTGAAATTAGTCACATTGTTGCAATCCCTCATATACTGCAAATTAGCTTATCTAACGGTTATTTTGCAATTAGCTTTTTTTCCCAAAGAAGGATTTTTAAGTTCCACTGGAAGAATAAGCCATTTTCAATATCAGAGTTGTTTAGAAATGAGTGGGTGTCACATTCTGACTAATACTTCAGCTCCTCTCGGTTGTGTGCTGTCATTACTGTAGAGAATCACCTCTGTTTCTAGTGGTTCTGGAGTTAGAAGAAATTGCCCTGTGCACAGGCTAAATGGCAATTGCACTCATTTTAATATGCCCTTTATAAAATTTGCTTTCATAATAGGATATTAAACTGAAATAAATCAGAGAAAGGGGGAAGGGAAGCAGTCTCAATGAGCTCATGTAAGTTGGGAGCTTCCCAGGATGTCCTCAAACTCTTGCTTTTCTCAAATTCTCCAATCAATCTGTATGCTGTGAATGCTTGTTGAGACCCTCTCTAACTCTTCTATCTTTGCATGGATTTCTAGACCCCTTCCTTTCCCTTTTTTCTGGGACAGGATATCTTCAGTGTAGATATGTTTCAGGGATGGTTGGGTAGCCTGAGCCTCCATCCTGGCTTTTTGTGATTTTGCTGCTTTGATGAAATGCCCATCAAAGGGGGGCAGGTAACTTCGAATCACAGGGTGACAGTCTTGCCAACTCTGATTGTGTTTCTATAAGTCTGACAGTATTTGACTTCTTTTTTTCTTATTGTCTACCTCCTAGAGTCTTTGCTATGTGAAAAACTAAAATTTAGTTTTAAAAAATGATAAATTTCTGGCTTTTGTGATTTCAGAGAAAAGATAATAAGGAATAAATATCTAAATGCTAAAGATCAGAATGGAAGCGCCAAAAATATGTGTTTTGTTTAAAACAAATATGAAATGAAAACCTGATTTATGATTTTGAATTCTTGGAGTTGGTAATATTGGAGAACCTCCATGCACTGAGAGTGAGAAGTCAGTGGCCTCTGCCTGACTTTGGCCTAGTACTCACCTCTGTTCCCTCTCCCTGTCTCAGGGGAGGAATGATTGTCAATGCACGTGTGTCTGATTGAGCTTGCAAGGTAGGTGTGCTTGTGCATGAACATCTGTCATTTTATTAGAAATAATTGTTACCTTACAAAAAAAAAAAAGCATTCATCTTATTATAGAGCAGATTCAAGGCTTTTGGTCAGGATAAAACTATTCCTTCCCTTTGCTTTACCTGCAGCTTTTATCCACTGTCAATGGGGATCATTTCATCTAGATAAAATTGTGATAAAGAGCTTTGAGATTCCTAAGAGCTTGTCCTAGGCGAATCTAGCCTGAACAGGTAGCTAGCAGCTGATCAGGCCGTTCTTTATGCTAACAGGTTACTTTCATGCACGCTGTCTGAAAATGAAAATGAAAGTGTATGCCCATGGCCCTGGAGACAGGCCATAATCATAGGCTGAACCATGAAAGATGAAACCCTGGAGGTAAATATCAAGAGACTAAAATTCTCTTAGAAGAAAATACTGAGCTTTTATCTATTGCTGATATTTGATAAGGGGTTGGCAAGAGGCTGAATGAGTGAATATACTAAAAGGTCAAGAGTTGTCATTCTTGATACTCAATGATTTTTTTCATTTATTACAATCCAGTGCCTGCAAAAGGAAGGTTGTTTTTAAATGTGATTGAAAACCTGATTTTGGATCTGCAGTGACTGCTTGTGCCTATCTTATTATTGTGTTACCTGAAGGCATGGGGGAAGTGAGGGAGATGTGGAGGTTTCATAACACAGGGCTTCCCACAAATTTGATGTTCAGTGGGATCAAGCCAACAAATATAACTTTAGAGTGGCTCACACAGCTTGTCCTTTAGTACCGCCTTCTACAACTCTGTTGGGTGAGAAATTTTGGTCAAAATGAAATAGAGATTATAGAGATAGGGCTTCTGAGAAAGTTATGATGTTAATAGGTGGGATCAGCCCTCCTGAGCTCACAAGTAGGTTCTGAAGGCAAAATTTATTATTTCCTTATTCATTGTGGGAAACCTGACTTCAGAGAGTTTGATGTCCTGGGGTTTGGATGAAAGTAGATAAGCTTTATTCTCACTAAGGGTTGGTTATACCCTAGTCCTCCTGAATTTTTTTCTTTTAACCAAGTCTCTCTCAGTAGAAATCACTATCATGAGCTGTCTTTTTCTTTTCTTTCTTTATTTCTTCTTTTTTTTTTTATTTTATTAAAAAAAGAATTGTTGTTCTGTAGCTGAGAGTTGTGTACTGGTTGTTCTCATATCTATTTGGCAGAAAGAATACTGATGACAGTTGTGCTGCTGTAGGGATGTATACTTACATGAACATATGATATGATCCCAAAGAAATGATATTTTCCTCAAAGAAGGTCTTACAGAGCCAAATCAAGGTGCTCATCAAGGAGAATAGTCCCCTTGAGATTTTAGTTGCTTAATTCTATATTCAGAGTGCTTTGCTGAAAATCTCAATGTATCCCTGGTTCTGAATTCATCATGCATAAGGTATTTAAGTGTGTGTACTTTTGTAAGGGATTTCCAGCCTCAGCTCAATTTTTAAAATTATGTTTGTGTATTTTTCCAAACAGATGCCGGAGGAGCAGGCATTCTGTGTATTTGTGAAAATAATGTATGACTATGGCTTGAGGGACCTCTACAGAAATAACTTTGAAGATCTCCATTGCAAATTTTTCCAGCTGGAGAAGTTAATGCAGGTGGGGCCAGGGTAACAAATTCTTCTACGATCATAAATGGAAATACCGGCATGACAAAGAGATTAATGCTTTGCTTCCATAAGCTACTGGACAATAAAAACCTTTTCCTTTTAGAGGTGAGGTAGAACCAAAGCAGGGAAGTTTAATATCTAGATCCAAACATCATGAGTCAGATTTATTTCTCATTTCTTTTGTCTTTCATATACCAGTCCTGCTGCTGATCTTTGTATCCAAGCAGAGTAGGTATCTGGGTTTTTTATCTCTCTGTTTGCTTAGTCTCTTTTCTATTTCGTGATGTTGCTTGGAGAGAATGCCTCTGTACTATTAAGGCCAGAATGTCTTTTGGACTGCCACCATCAATGTCCTACTTTCTATCAATTATGTTGATGGTTAAGAGGTCAGGCAAATCAGGACATCGTGATGCTTATGAAATACGAATCAAGTGTAAGTAATTTTGTAGATTTTACTGTGTTTTCAATACATTGCACTTTTTTTAGATGAAATTATTTCATGGCCAGAGCAATTTAACTTAAATAAACAGCTGCAAGTTTTACACATTGTTGTTCTGAATAATAAGCAATTACTAACAGTCCATTAAGCTTTGACCTGCACTTCTCTTAGTATAGTGAAAGCTAGCTGCTTGAGTCAGTTATCATAGATGACCATGTATACCTCTGAGAGATAGATTAAAACCAAACAAAACTGACCACATTTAATTTAATTATCTTCTTTTTTCAGGTGTCAAATTGTGCGTATTTCCTACTTGATGAAGTAAAATTGCATACTAATTAATTTGATACTTAACTTCAGCATATGGTCTTCTCAATATTTACATATGTTAACAAAGATTTTTGCTTTATTAACTGAATATGAATATATCAGCAGTGTACAGTAGGATTATCAGTGCTTATTTTGTGTTGCTTATATATCTCCTAGTTAAAGAAGTTGTCTGATGGAGCTGCAAGCTTTGTTGCTTTCAAGCTCTGCAAGGTGATCTCCTTGTTATAGTAGCAATTGGCTTTTATAGCAGAAGCATTTATAGTAAGACACAGCAAAGGAATAACTTAAAATTATGTACTGTGCACGATATAGATTTCACAACTGCTCTGCCTTTTGACTGTTGAAGATTTTGTGATTTCTCAGGAAAATCTCAGTGCATTATTTGATACTGTGATAGAATCTTGTGGATATCTTACTAAAAACTGTAACCATGGGCACTGATATTTATGAAGAAACATATTTCCATTGCTCAAAAGAAGCCAGGATTTCACTTTGTTGTGTTTTTCAGTGTTTAGCAACCTGGCGCTTACTGGCAGTGTAGATGAAGAACTCGGATTAACGAGTAATACTGAAGCATTTATTTTTTTTTCCTTTACTCTAGGAGCAGTTACCAGACTTGCATAGCCATTTCTCAGACCTCAGTTTGGAAGCTCATATGTATGCATCCCAGTGGTTCCTCACTCTTTTTACTGCCAAGTTTCCACTCTGCATGGTCTTCCACATCATTGACTTACTACTTTGTGAGGTAAAAAAAAATTGAATCAGAAAGCCCTTCCTCCACTCCACCACTGCTTCTTCTTTTTTTGTTTCATTTTGTTGGACTCATTTAGTGTTTGATTTCAAAATGTGTGTAACTAAATTATGTAGAATGGTTATATTGAAGAGAAGATGTTCATTGAAATGCTGGTTTCGTTGTAAAAGTAGAATTGTGGATTGCCTCATTCTTTGCTAAGGGTTCTAATTAAGAATATCTGATGCGTACATCTGTTCTTCATGTAATTTGTTAAATAGTTTATTCAAAGGTAGGAATTCTAATTTCTTGAAGATACCTAGTATTAAAAGCCTAGCAGGCTTTTAGTGGGAAAGCGCTCCAGATTGTCTCATTGAGAGTGCCCAAAGCCAGTAAGGATATTGCATGTTGCTTTCACGGCCTGATATTAAATGAATAGTGAGAACTGACAAACAGCACAACTGAATGAGGCTCTTTTCCTTTTGCTTTTTACCCCACTATTCCAACTAAGGAACGCATTACTCCACATACAAAATGGTATGTTTCTGTATTGTAGATACATCTGCACTTCCTTTAAAAAACTAGGCAGAATAGATTGATAGACTGGAATGTTTATTTTGATAAAATACTATTACTTCCTTTTGTCACTGGGAAGTCAGGGCATCCGTTCAATCAAAACTGGCTTTGAACCTGCCACTGATTTCCTCTCTGATTTGAATGGGTCAGAAACATAATAAATAAATAAAATAATAGAGAATTTTAAATGCAGAGACCTTCATGAGTATGAAACACTGTTGACTCTAGTTCATTCTGTTAATTTTTATTGTAAAGTATTTTACTTGCGAATTTTCAGGCTTGCTGCACATGCCTTGATAGGATTCATTATTAAACAAATATTGTCCACCAACTCCTAACTCAATAATTTTTTCCTTAAGAATATTGCTGCTTCTGCATATTGGTGCTCAGTTATCAAAATGAGGTAGGCTAATACCACTAGGGATCCAAGTGAGTGCGAAAGGTAGGAATGGTGACGTGATTTCACATTTTCATATAGATAGCCAATTTCTATTTCTTTCACAATGTCTTGATTATTTTAACTAAGCAAATAGAAAAAGCAGAAAGGTTGCTAGTGTTTCTGCTCCCTGTCCTCTTCTTTGGTTGTGTAGTAGATGACCACAATCCCTTGATCACTTTTGAACTGTTAGTGAGTTAATTTTCAGAATGAGCTTCTGGTGTGGATTTGATCATTCTTTGTCATTCAGTTTATTACTTCTGATCTTGATGTAGGCTGCACTCAGAAATGACCAATTTAAGAGACTGTTTGTCAAGGACAGAACATCATTTCATAGGGGTGATTATTGTGATAGCAGCATAGTTACATCCTGTCTGAAGCTCCTGCACTTTTTATTATATTAAGCTTGATGATAAAATATGCTGAAGAAGTCTTTTAGTTATGGTTAATACAGATTCCATATTTAGAATGAAAAAAGAAACATCTCGAAAAAAGAAACATTTGCATTCATCTCACATCTGGCAGTGTTTATCTCAGCAAGTCTGAAGGAATTACTCTGGGAAAGAAGGTGAAAGAATCCAAGGAGAAAGTGAGAGTCTGCTAGAGAAAGGGAAACTTGTTAGCATTTGTGGAGGGTTATCACATAAAGCTAAAGGAGCCTCTTTTACAACAGCTAAAAATAAACCAGAAATGGTAAAAAATTGATTTCAAGCGAGAAGATGCATACAGACTTCTTGAGAAACAGTGGGGCAGTGTGTAGACAACATACTGAGGCAACAGTGTAGACTATCAGAAGATAAGATCCTAAGATTTGTGAGTCAACCAGGCATTTCTTGTCAATTTGTGGGAGGAGCATAGGTTAAAATGATACTAAAATAAAAATCTAGTTGGCCCTCATCATGGGAGGAAAGTACAATTTGAAGGCATATGGCCATAGAGAGAATAAGAAAGAAACCATTCCTGAATGGGGGGCTGAAATCATATTGTGAAGCTGTCTGTCCATTCAGCCTCCAGAAGGAGTAATGGAGCAGTCAAAAAATAATTTTTGTCTGCATTAAATTGTTCTTTACTTTATCTCTGAACAAACAGCATGCCTGTAATTCCAGCAACTGGAAGGAGAAAAAACAGTTGCAGCTGCTAACAGTGGAACATATTCTTCTGCAGAAAAAATCCTCAAAAAATCAAGAAGCCTTTGAAGTGAACTGTCTTGTGTTTTTAAGAACAAGCTTCCAGCCTTCTCATTAATTTGTCATAGATACAGATGAATTTTAAATAGCCTTCAACTTCCTTCCTGACTGTGCTTTCTCCACATCCCTGTCTCGTCTGTCGTTGACAAAATGTTTATATCCCATGCAACTCTTTTATTACAGAAAAATATTAGGGGAAGAAAACCAGTTAAAACCATTGCTGAATGGGTGCTGCCAACTAGTCATTCCAAGGGAGCTTCTCTGATCCCTATGAAAATATTTGAATTATGGATGAACAATTTGTGTCAATCAGGAGTTTTTGGATGGGATTTGTCTTGTTAGTTCTTATTTGTGGCTGAAGAGTGAAGTCAGTCCTTATAAATACTCTAACTCTCAATCCAGAGAGGAAAAATACTTGTTGGAAATCCTGTAGTTTAGCAGCTAGCCAGGGAGGTACGTTTCCTTCCCTTGCATGCACGGTGGAATGGTAGCACTCAAGCTGGGGCGTGGACCTCCTGGGCAGGAGCATATCCAGGGATGGGGAAGCCTATGAAAAATTAGTTAAATATATGGTGGGAATTAAGTTTTATTGATAAATTTTTAAAATCCCATCAAAGTGTGTGCCATTACAGATGAGGTCTTTTCATCATTTTCACATTAAATATTACTTGATAGAAAGAACAACCTTAAATTCATACAAATTTCGGACTTGCCGTGGCCTCTATGCAATTGAGTTCTTTTATTCTGTGGTCTTCCTCTGGCCTTTTTTATTTTTAAGCTGTCTTCAGGCTGTTGAGGATGTGAGTCAACGCCCAAATTACCCAAATTTCCAATGGCCTTAGAATATTGCCTCAATAACTGTAGGAGAGGTTCTGTCAGCCATCCTTACCTAGAAATGAAATGGGTTTGAATTCGTTGTATTTCCTATGACAGAAGCTTGGAGAAAATTTTGGGCTTGCAGGCAGGTACTCCACAGCGCTGTGGTACGTATTATAAGGCTTAATATTTTGACTGCCTGTAATAAAAACGCAAAACTCGTGATCCAGTTGGAAGTTTTCATGTGATCATAGCAAACAGCATGTTTTTGAGCCTGGCTACGTAGATAAATTTTAACATGTCAGCATCAGCTGAAGATCTTTCTACAACGTTCCTTTTAGCTGCCTGTTTCAACTGCTTCATTTGTCTCCTCTCCTTTTGCTATTTCTGTTTGCATTGAAGAACAATTTTGTTGACGAAATTCAGAGTTGTATTTGGACTTGTCAGTCTTACCTGTCAATATGACATTATGTTATTGAACACTTTGTGAGCCTACTCTGTTTTGCTGTCTCTTTTTGTTCCATTTTAGATTATTTATTTAAAATCATGCTCAGAAATAGCAACTCATCTAGGTAAAGCACATGTCGCTTAGAAAGACCTGTCCCCAATGCAACAACTGCACCTGGGTTGTGCTATAGAGTATCAGAGAGTTGACATTTAACTGCATTTTGCATTTTGAAATTTACAACTGAAAATGTGTTTTAAAAGCGCTAGATAAGTGACCTTAAATAGGCATTAAGGAGAGAAAAAAAACCCAAGTCGGCAGAACAATTTATAAGCATTTTTTTAAATTTTCATGACTTTTTATGCTTAAAAGAGAAAATACTTTAACCAGATGTGATAGATACAGTACTGCCAAAACTAAAGGAGGTTCAAAGCTCAAGCTTTCATTCCATTATTAACCAAGAATTATAAGACACTATTGGTAACCTCTGTTTTAAGTCAATCTGGCTATTTTTGTGTGCAGTTGTTGGGGATATAAAATGCTTGCGGAATATGCTTCTCTTCTTTTAAGGAGTATATAAAGAACCCTTCTACATACTGCCTTTTCTGGGCTGGTACAGACATTTGTCTATTTTAGCGTCAGTAATTACATGGTCTTGTTACAAAAATTAATAGTTGACTACTAAGCTGCTGTTCTATGATCAAAATTGAATAGAAAGGGATGCAACTGCTTATCATCAATTTTGAATATGAAATAATTTAATGTTTTCTAATATAGCTAATAATAGAGAAGCGAAACTACCTTTCACAGGACCACACAGCAGCACAGTGAAGAAGTAGGAATCGAAAGCTAGATACCATCATTCATTGGCCTTTATTTATCAACTATTGCATTCAGAACTTTGTATAAGATAACTTTGATAATCAGTTTTGAGAAACTATCTGTGATAATGAAGACTGATGGGTGTTGTTAAAAATCTTTTAAAATGTGAGTGACTTGGTGCTGGTAAATAAGCACCTAGTGGTAGTGAAAATGTGGCACCATGTGTAGATGTGCTTCCCGGGAGCACTGCTTCATAATGAAATAATGAAAATCTTAGAAGAATTATAACTATTGGCCTGAAGATTTCTGTCTTAGGCGTGTCTTGCTGAAGAATGGATGTGCCAGGAAACACTGTGCCGTATGGTATCACTCAGACGATAAGACCAGTCGTCTCTGCATGTTAGTACTAACTGAGTAGTAGATACCATAATAGCCTGCTATTTTTTATCTGTCACTGTCAAATACTTCTGTGATGCCTTCAACAGAGTTGAGAAAGAACAGATTAACATTTTAATTTATTAAACTTCCTCAGGAATTGAGTCAGGAACAAGCCCACTTCCTCTGCAAATCGGCACTCAGATGAAATGTGAATTAAATAAAAGATTGTGTACAGTTGTTTATCTTCTGTAGATCTATAGGGGAAGAAAAATTGAACTTTTTGGAATTACCCGTTGTTGACTGATTGTCTGCATTTGTTAACCCTTCCAGTTATGAATGTTTTAATAAATCTGAC